AATATTATACTAAGATTCTTTTCTACCATGGTTAGTATTATTTAATTTGGAGTTTAAAAAGATTAGTAATAGGTTAGAGATAACTGATGTTACACAGAGCACCTATTTAGTAGTACCTTGAATTGGAAAGATTGGTGACTGGGACGTTTGTCTCACCCCGTGGTTTACAATGTTTTCAGGTGAAGGTTCTAGGCGTGCGCCTTCGGGAAGAGACGCAGAGGCTTGAGCTTGGTTAGCTTTAGGCCTCTAGCCTTTGTTTATGTATGACCAGTTGTATATTGCCACAGTTAGGGTCCTTTAAAATATTTTGATTGCCCGGCTTTATTGTAAACCGGAGGAAGTGTATCTTCTCACTTTTAATTGGCCAGAGGCCCTTTCTATTGTTTGTGGAACTTTGATTTACGTTGTTGGAAACCATTTGAATGGGTTGTTTGTGATGTATGTTGTTACCCGGGCCGGAGGCTCGGAGGTCCAGTAGATGTTAATGAATGATTTTAGTTGCATGCAACGAAGTTTGGGTTTGACCCGAGTTTGAAAGTCAATTTCTAAAATTTATGCAAATTTCTTTCTACTATGGTAGTTCATTTTAACAGCTTTCCTTTTCTACCATAGTAGTGGTTTTATGATGAGATTATAATGTTATGAGGTTAAGGGTTTTACAAGGGTGGTCTTAGAATTTTAGAATAATTTTAGAATAATTTTGTTCTATATTAATAAATATTTATGTGCAATGTTGTAGACTCTTGAGAATTTTAGAGTAATCATTGGGTGAATATTTGTAAGCTAAATAGTAGTATGTAACTTTGAAAATTCTCTTGGGTACATGTGAATTGTGTATAATCATATTGTGGATTCACTAATTTTATATCATACTGAAATATAATATTTTGATTTTTCAAATAAATGTTTTGATATCTTACTCTATTTTGCTAAGATTTATTGCTATTAATTATGATCAATATGTAAATATATTGATAGCTATGGAATTATAATAAGCTGCTTATAAATGGTACAGGAATGTTATTGCTATCTTTTTTTAATAATGTATTTGAGCACATACTTCTGATACAATATTATTTGCATATGACATATGCATCATTGGGCTAAGGATAGAAGGAGATTTGCATGAATATAAAATTACCATGTGGTATGCTATCATTCAATGCACAGTGGATGACACTTCTCAGGGCTCCTTCTTCTATGTTTCCTTTGGCTGGGGATCCATTAGAGCTATGAGACATGTGACACCTCCTTGTTTTATTTGCAAAGAAAGGGAGCCATAATTCTAACTTGAGCTCTATATCTTTGACCAGATATATCTCCAGTTTCGATGAGCTTGGAATAATTCAGTAAAATGGATTAGTTTCTATTAGACTATGTGTTAACCTATGGATTCAGTCAACGGCATAACGATAGATGGTGATATAAGGGAGGATGCATATTGCATTATTTTTATATATTGGAAAATGATGTTGGTATATTATTAAATTGAAAATGAAATTACGTTGAATGTATACATCTGTGATTTTCATATACAAATATATATATGTACACATAAAATCATATTTTTGTTTGTCATATATGATTTGCTTGTATAGATTAAAATTTCAGTAGTTACTAAGATGTTAGATCTCATTCCTTATATTAATATATTCAAGTAAAGGATTTAGTAGAAATAAAAGGAATACACTGATGGAGTGAGTCATGAAGGTTTTTGTGCTCCTCAAGCAATATGCTATGTCATAACTTTATTTGCCATAACTAAAGGATTTCAATAGTTTATCTTGCTAAGTTATGTTAGAAAAATGTTTTGAAATTATAACTTGTTTTAAATGCTAAAAACACGTATGGACTTTTAAATGAAGTATATCACATATATGGATATAATTATGTGGGGTGTTACAAAAAGTGCTTAATAAGGTAAGAAAATCACTCACGATGTAAAAATTTGGACACAAATTTCAAAGTCCTGTATTCATTTCTCAAGCATAAAACAAAAGAATCTCTATCAATGGTCAGTAACCACAGTTTAATGAAGAAGGGAATCAAGCTTTTACAATCCGTAACAATGACGCCAGTAAACTATCTACAGCAGCGATGCCACTACATCCTAGTGCAACCCCAAACAGCCACAATTTTACTCAAAAAAGAAGGGAAGTTATTGTCTTACAATATCTCCTGAAAAACTCAACTTTTAAAAGGCTAACAGAATCTCAAAATGTGAAGAAGATGGGCTTTGAGCAGCACTGAAAGCACACCACCTTTTTGGCAATCACTTTAATGGGAGTTGTACTTATGAATGAACATTGAGCAGTTGGATGTGCTATCTTGCTCCTGATATTAAAACTAAAAGGAAAAAAGTGGTGGCCTTTCCCAGCAATTGGACAATATGAGGAGAAGAGTCTCTCATGGTCAGTGGACACGATATAAGAGGCTGTCAAAGAGAAAAGTGAATTAGTCTCTGTTTGCATAATGCCCTCAGGACTTTTTCATTGAGATTTCAGAATGCAAGGAATTTAAAATGCAGTAAGTTCATTCCATGGATTCTTTATATAATGTTATTATAACTAACAAGTGAACTTTAAGTTATCAAAATTTCTCACCTTTTGCATGCTTCCAATCCATGGTCTTCGAAAATAAATTATTACCATTCTCTATCTTCAACACACATACTCAAGAACTGCACAAATTCCCACAGGGATATGCTTCAGATCTGGATTTTGTAAGAAAAATGTTATGTTGATTTGAAATTGTACAAATATCGACTTAATGGTATGCTTGAGTCAAGAAGAATGAAGAAGAAAGCAGGATTTGAGTTAGATTTGAAGTTGGGAAAATATTTAAATGAAATTTTCTCTCCCATTCTCCTTAATCCAAACATGCCCTTTTCATGATTCTTTTCTCAAGACACTCCAATCCAGGCCTACCAAATATTGGATATGTGATGTATACTGACCATCTATGGGCTTTCTTAAAAAGGGGTTGAGATATGTTGAGTCCTATGCTTTGAAATTCTTGGAAAAGCTCATTAGCCACTTTTTCCAGTGTTGTGTCTGATAGCTTCTTAGGTTCAGTTTAAGCAATTATATTCTCTGCGTATTCTTTTGTTCAATGAAGAACCCATCTTTCGCTCTAAAGTAAACGTGCCATTGGCAATCAATAAGTTATAGATTAATGGAAAATGATAGAAGATTGGACAAATACCTATGAGTAGAACGGCCTGGCTTGCTGCTCTCGCAATGAGCCCACCTTAAAATGCTAGAATTTTTTAATGAAGAAGCCTGTGAAGGGTATCTGAAAAATTTGAAACACAGATTGAATTTATTTTGCAGAAGATTATCTTTAAGTATACATTCAAAAGACTAAATCAAACTGTTATTGTATCTTAGTATGATTAACTATAACAATTAGACAGACACCTCTTGTCTTCTCTACCAAGTTCAATTTTCAATTTCCATAGCAAGCCACGTATACAAAAGGAAATAGAAAATGGCCAAGCCAAAACCAATCATCTAGTCAATAAGGATATTAAACAAGCCATACAGATTACATTTACTATTAATGATAACCTTAAAGGTATATAGCTACTATCATACTGAGGTCAGAGGCTCTGCAAATGCCAGCATTACAGCAAAACAAGGCCTAACAAGAAGATCACGCAACTTTGCTGACAACTCTCACATCAAATTCATACTTGCATTCATCGCAAAAGTCAACCAGCCACTATTGACCATAGAAATGCCACAGTAAGTATCATTTGGCATAAAGCACCCACAGTTTAGATGCTAAGTTTTCACCTTTTAGAATACAAACACACACACACACACATGATCAAACTAATTACATCGACACCCCTAGGACAGATTTGAATATAAAAATAGTCAATATGTAGCCCATTTGTCCAGCTCATCAATTTCATGTTGGTTCATCTACTAAACCATAAACTACCAAATTAATGTGATATCACTGTTAGTTAACGTAAAGGAATATTTAATTCATCACAAAAATGTTGGGCAAAGAATCTTTCCACTTTCCTTCCTCTCCATTTCTGTCCACCTCCCATCTCAACCATTAAGATTGCAAGTTTAACAGTTCAGATTTTATTTCTTAGACAATAATTTTATAAAATGATTTTAGTATTTTTTGAATTATTCAGGCTAAAATTTATTAGTTTTTATTTATTTATTTATTGAAAATTTAACAATTTATTTATAATTTTATAAATATGAAATCAAACTATTGAGATTTCAATCTTACAATTGAGATGAGAAGTGGATGGAAATGAAGGGAAAAGGAAGTGGAAATACTCCCTGCCCTTATAAGACAAATGATAAAAGTAATAACGCGTTGCAATCACTTTTCTCCTCTTCAAGTTCTAGCAAGGCTTCATACTGAAAATAGAAACAAGCATTTTATATTGATAGTCATTTCCTTTAACAATTCTCACTTTTTTAAGAACCTTTCAGAAGCAACTTGAGATCCTCTTCCATTACTCAACATTCACAACTTAAAAAAAAAAAAGAAAAGAAACAGAATAGACACCTAGTAAGAATACCCGTAGCATTTGCCATGTTTAACAATTTGAAGTAAAAACAACAGCAAGCAACAAAATACTACTCATGATTCCGAATTAGAATCTGAAGTGTGAAGGAGCTTGTTGCTTAAAGAAATTATGTTCATTTTATGCAGCTTTGCTATCACTAATATCTACAAAAAAAGAAATTTCATATAAACAAGAAAATCTATTAATGAATCAGTGCAAACATAAGGATATATATTTATTTATTTATTTATGATTTAAAATTCCAACAAAATAAGCATGACTATTGAAAGCTTGGAACCACCCTGATGTGTAGCACTTGCGTAACAAACAACTAAAGCTGATTTTTTATGATTTGAAATTCGGATAATCAAGCAAATCTTTCAATCTTAAACACATAGGCAAAAGAAAGAAAATTATGTTCATGACTTGAAACTTTAAAAAAGGAGTGAATATATACCTAACGACTATATGCAGAATGGATAGTGGGAAAACTCATGCCTTCATGAGTGAGAAGCTCACTTACTAATGCTACTCCATCATCTTTAGTGCTACTAAAAGGAATGTGAGAAATAAATGCACGATATTTTCCATTTTGTTTTTGGATCTTCTTGTTGAGCAAGGGACAGCCAATAACCCGTAGCAAACAAAGGGAATTGGGCAAACCCTCCTTTGGAAGGTGCTCGAGTTTAGGGCAGCCATGAATTCCCAATCCTTCCAAAGAGGATAAGTGGCAAAGACCTTTGTGTTCCAATGATCTAAGATTTGGGCAGTTATGGAACGAAAGACTAGTAATAGTAGGCGGAAGTAGTCCAATATCAGGAAGAGACTCATCATCTACCTCTCCAATCCCTAAGTGATGCAGTGAAGTAAGGCTACTCAGATGCCACCCCATTCGAGAGGCTACAAGTTTCGGGCATTCCAAGACGTCAAGATATTGGAGATTCGATGGTAAATCTTCCTCTGAAAATGATTCCACTTGTGGGCAACATCTTATTACTAGACATGTGAGAGAGGGAAAGAAAATACGCATCTTCTCTGGCAGTGATTTCAAATTCTTCAATTCATCGACGCAACACAATACTAGTTTGGGGGCTGAAAACCCTCCTTCAGGAAAATGGACAAATCTAGGACACTTTCGTATGTACAAGTCTGCTAGAAAAATCATTCCCCTCTGAAATGGATATCATTTCAAGATTATTACAGTCAATCAACTTCAATGATTGAAGCTTCGGGAATAAATCCAGAGGAAAAGACTTGAGAGAGTCACAACTCCCTCTTATCTCCATCTCAAGAATGAAGTTATGAAAATAGCACAGTGGGAATTCCAGGTGGGGACAATCAGAACACTTCAACTTTTCAAGGTTACAATTGGCAATGACACTCTCAATTTTGTCAGTTGATAATAAATTTTTGAAGCCTCCAGAAATGTCAAGGACTTTTAGAGATGATGGAAGACTTTCCAACTGCTCATTTCCGCAATTTCTTAGAACCAATTTATCTAGAGATGGATCCCGGGGAATGGAAGACAAAAGCTTCTCACAATTGGAAATTACTAGCATCCTTAGAGAAGGAAGTTGTTGAGGAAGTTGCCCTTTCAATTTGGGACAATTTTCTAAACTCAACTCTTGAAGATGAGGGAAAGTTAGTGACACAATTTCACACTTCCATTCCTCCCAACTCTTCATATCTCCAAACCTCAAGATTTCTAGGGATGAAGCATTAGAGCTACTCCCACAAAATTCTGGACCAATAGCTACTATATTATGAAACCCATAATTGACAACGACTTGAGAGATGGAAAGAGGCCAATTGATGGCAAGGATAAACAGTATTTGCAATGTTTTAGCTCTAGGGACACTAAAGCGGACAACGAATGATCTGCAAGCCAATTTGGAAACTCAATACCACCATAGTTGACAATTGATAGCTTTTTTAAATTTTTATGTAGTTGAAAGTTCTCCAACACGTCCTTATCATGTGGTGATTTTTTGTTATCCATACACCATTCTAATGTTAAGTCCTTTAGGTGTATCTTGCTTCTCAAATTGACCGCTAAAGCAATCGAGGAAGAAACCATATTCTGCAATCCTGAGATGGAAAATGATCCATGAAGATCAAGTCCTTCTAAATATTTGATGTTGGCCTCTCCAAATTTGTCTATAATAAATGATGACAGCACTTGAAGATTTTTCAATTTATCTAATTGCTTTGGCATCTCTCTCACTTGAGTTTCACGAAAATCAAGGTGACGTAGATTCATGAGTTTATGAAAATCCATTGGCAACTTTTCCAAAAGACAACAACGCCATAACTTTAGCGTTTGCAAATGATAAAGTTGGCATATTGAATCAGGTAGTTTCCTTATTTTAGTTCCTGATAAGTCCAAATAACGGAGATGTTTGAGGTTTCCTATTGAATCAGGTAACTGCATGATGACATGATCTGACAAAGATAAAACTCGCATGCAAGTGAACTTGGATGGCAAATTGTGAGTAAGCTTGCCAGATATAAAGTGAACAATGGAGTTACAGCTTGTACTTCTATGACCTTGCATAGACAGAGGCAAGAAAGTGCGCAATTTATTAGCCCTGTGTATAACCTCAAATTGTTTGAATGTATTAATAGTATTTCTCAAAAATGAAATATGGCGGGTCATTTCTGTCAAGTTATTTACATCATCTAACTCCAACCTATGGCAAAACTTTCCATATTCAACTTTTGCCATATCATTAATAAGATCATGCATGACGAAACGAGTCTCATCTACTGGTGATCGTTGAAAAAGTGACCTCAATAATAGGTCATGAAAGAATTGTTCTCCTACTTCTCTCGCATCTTTGCTCTGATGAGCACATGTCAGAAAATTTTCTGCCATCCATAGCTGAATTAAATGCTCCTTATCAAAATCATAATCTTTGGGAAATATTGAACAATAAGCAAAGCATCTTTTGAGATGAGAGGGGAGGTAGCAATAACTCAATCTCAAAGCAGGGAGAATCTTGCTATTGCTTTTGTCTTCCCATATCTCACTTTCCAAAATTTCATTCCATTGCTCACGAGACGATTCTGTGTATAAGAGACTCCCAATAGCTTTCAAAGCCAAAGGCAGCCCTTTGCATTTTTTACTGATTTTTCTACCAATTTCTTTAAGGTCAAAGTTTGCATAAAGATCATTTCCATTATGGAATGCGTATTTGCTAAATAATGACCAACTATCTCCTTCTAATAACGGCTTCAATTGAAGTATATCAGCAGAATGCATGGTTGAAGCAACTTTTCTATTGCGGGTGGTTAGAAGAATTTTGCTTCCTAGTGCCCCATGATTAAATGGTGATTGCAAGGCCTCCCATAGCATATAATTTTCATTCCACACGTCGTCTAAAACAAGGAGAAATCTCTTTTGAGTTAGTTGTTGTTTCAATTTAATTTGAAGCATATTTAAATCATTGGTATCATATTTATACCCAGTGATTGCCTCATAAATTGTTCGTGTTACCCTCAACACATCCAACTCATCAGAGACACACACCCAAACTTTGAGGTTGAATCCATCCATCACCCTTTTATCATTATATACGAGCTGGGCAAGAGTAGTTTTACCCAGACCACCCATACCCACTATAGAAATCACAGATAGTTGGTTGTTATACTTTTCTGACAGAAGCCATTCAATGATGGTTTCTCTGTCATCATCTCTACCATATATTCCGTCTTCATCCACTAAAGATGTAGTTGGCGGTCTATCTGGTATAGCAGTTCTCAATCCACCGCTACTATCACGTTCATTCAATCTTAATATGTCCCTTTGAGATGCAAGATATTCTAGATTTTCAAGGACGTTTTTCATCTTGTATTCAATTTCCTTCTCAAATGAACTAACAGGAGTACTAAAGAAGTTTCGTACCTTGCCAATAGCGGTGGTTCGACTCCTTTGTTCGGCTTCCAGCTTGCGCTTGCACATTTCATAATCAATCTCATCCAAGACATCCTCAGCATCGAACACGGCATCTTTAACCAAATCAATCCAGTCCTTCACCTTCGGATTAGTGATCTGCTTTTGCTCTGCATCGTCAACCACGGCATCGATGGATAACAGCACGATCTTCAACTTATTGAGCAATGTCTGGTTCAATTTTGGTTTGTTGAAGAAGTCCAGAACATCCCGAGAAGCCAGCCTATCAAAAGCTACCTGAAGAAAAGCAGAAAGAAAAGCACCGCCAACCAAAGCTCCCGCCATAGATGAAGATGTTGTGCTTGTGCAAACGCAAAACGAAAAAGAACGCGATGAAAATGCGAAAGTGGGGAAGGTTATTGCAGTGCAAGGAGCGTGTGACTTTGTGGCTTTTGTGAGTGGCTAGAAAATGGCAAAATGCGTTTACTTTTTATCATCCCGTCAACCACGCTACAAAACATCGATCAAAATGAAGACTTTCGAGTTCCCAGTTCATTCCATTACTGTATTTCTTTGACATTACGAAGTGTTTTGGACCACGTATTAGTCATTCCATTATCATCTTCATCCCGTCAACCACGCAAGAAAATATCCATCACAGCACGGACTTCAAAGCGACCGGGCCTTGTGCTTTACGATTTAATGGAGATTCCGCATCTTTCATGCGCTGAAATTATATATTTTTATTATAAACATTTATGTAAACAAAAACTAATGCAGTTTTTAATCTTGAACTTTGACTTCATTGAAGATTAAAAAGAATATTAACCTTTATTTTCTTTTTATTAATGAAATGAGTGGTTGATACCCTACTTCTTATATAAATAAATGTTAAATATGAGATATTGTAGTTCTGAAAATTTTTTTTTATAAAAGTGTTATTTTTCACTTTAAAAATTCTAGGTGAGTTTAATTTCAAAGACTTGCGACATCGTCCTGGACAAGGTCAGGGAACAGGGTTGCAACTCATCTTTCGATGTAGATATCAAGTAAGGTCGTGGCCTGTTCATGTGCTCCCCTAACTGCTTATAGGAGTTTTACTCATTATTTTTATATATGAATTTATGTATAAAAACATTATGATTCAATTTGATATATCTTTCCGTGAATTATTCGTAAATATTTATTTTTTTTTTTGGAAAAAAAGAGTTACACAGATCTCTCTTGCTTGAAAAATAAATTATAATATTTTTAACTTATGTATAATGTCATTTCGAATAAATATTACTCCTCCGGTCTTTAATATAGATACAAATTGAAGAGTTGATGCTGATCTTATATGTAAGACTTATTTCACGAGTTTATCAATCTTTTTACTAAATTAATCTTGTTAATGTCTCCCCAATAATAATCAAGTAGGAAAGGAAGGGGAAATTAAGGAAGATTCTTAAAGTATTTTTTAAAAAGTCATATTAATTAATTTAATTAACAACCCTAATCTACTGTAATTAGTTAATTAGGATTCACATTAAGTACCGCAGGACTATACAGTGATTAGTTGGTTAATCAAATTCATGACTTTGTGCATTTAGACTGTGTACTAATTATTTTTGTGCTCAAGGTCAAAATGAAGACTTTATTGTGCGGAAAAAAATCGATCAAAATGAAGATTGCGTTTAGACTGCGGCAAAATATCGATCAAAATGAAGACTTTTAGGTTCCAGTTCTAACATCTCACTTCTGGCAACCAAAAAGAAAAAAAGAAAAAAAAAAGGAACATCTAATTACCAAATTTATTCATTTCATTGTTTAATTTCGTTGACATTATGTGTTTAGACTATGCATTAATTATTATTGTGCTCAACGCCTAAACCACCATGCATTGTGATAGACAACTCAATGGAGAGTCATAACATCTTATAAGCTAAAATTACATATTTTCATGCGAACATATAAGTTTGGTTATCTATATCTGTATCAAGTTTCAGTTTAATTTCTTAAAATTTTTTAAAATAATTTTTCAATTCCTTAATATTAACATGATTAGTTTTGTTTAAAAAATGTTGACTCAATAAATTTAATCAGCAAATTGAAATTATGACTTTGCAGTTAAATACTGTCATACTAGTCTTTAATTTAAAATGTGTGATTTGAAAATTTTAAGTGAAAATTTTACTGAAATGTGTTATTAAATTTTTTTATTTGGTTGGCAAAAAAATATGTTTTATTTTATATTAATGAAATGAATATTTGATATTTCTTATATTAAATAAACGTCAAATATGAAGATATTGTGGTTAAGAAGTAGTGCAATTGTAATTCATTTTCAAAGCAAAAAAAGTCATTGTGGGGGAAAAAAGAAAAAAGATTTCAATGAAGGGTAGTTAGACAAGCCATTCAGGTCCAATAAGGCTTGTTCTTATTTGGATATCTTAAACTACGAACCAAGAGCAAACAATAAAGAGCGCCTAATTATTACTTTCAAAAAAGGAGGCCATTGTGGTCCCAAGTAAATTCCTAATTATAACAAAAAAAATTTTAAAATCCACTAGGACTATCATGAGATGGGAAAAGACAATAGAACAGAAAACTCTAATAATCAAAATCTGATTTTTTTTTTGGGGCTTATGTTGGAATTTTATCACTTCACAGAAAATAAAATAAGTTGAAGTCTCCATCTTACACATTGTCAAAACTGTTATTTCCTTTTAAACTTTTCAAAGTTTAACAACTCCCCCGTCTTGTTCCCAAGAAAGTATGATAATGCTCCTAACAAGGAGGAATGCATACCCAAATACAATACAATATAATTCTCACAGTCATGGCCGTAAACCAGAATCAGTAAATGCTAGTATAGATTTTTACCCATCGGTTGACTTAGTTGAATGAGAATTTAGGCGGATGGTGGGTGAAGTTTCTTAAAGCTAAATGGTTTAAAACAACCACTTACTCTACTTTGAATAAATCACTTGGTTTATTCATACCATAGTCTTCAAGAAATCTGCTAGAATCGCATGTCTATATACAAAGTTGAATGCTGTGAATATCGCACTTCTATTAGAGTTTCTCAGCGAAGTTGAAATCGATTAAATATTGTTTTCCAAATAAAGTTCTTCTGACAAAGGATTTAAACAAGAAAACTGCTTAATAAGGTGAGAAAATCACTCACCATGAAAAAATTTGGACACAAATTTCAAAGTCTTGTATTCATTTCTCAAGTATAAAACAAGAGAATCTCTATCCACGGTAAGTAACCACAGTTTAATGAAGAAGGGAATCAAGTTTTTACAATCCGAAACCATGACACCAGTAAACTATCTACAGCAGTGATGCCATTACATCCTAGTGCAACCCCAAACAGCTAGAATTTTACTCAAGAAAGAAGGGAAGTTATTGTCTTACAATATCTGCTAAAAAACTCAACTTTTAAAAGACTAACAAAATCTCAGAATGTGAGGAAGATAGGTTTTGAGCAGCACTAAAAGCACACCACCTTCTTGGCAATCAATTTCATGGGAGTTGTACTTATGAATGAACATTGAGCAGTTGGATGTGCTACTTTGCTTCTGATATTAAAAGGGAAAAAGTGGTGGCCTTCCTTAGCAATTGGACAACATGAGGAGAAGAGTCTCTCATGTTCAGTGGACACAATATAAGAGCCTGTCAAAGAAAAGAAAAGCGAATCAGTCTCTATTTGCATAATGCCCTCAGGACTTGTTCATAGGGATTTCACAATGCAAGGAATTTAAAATGCAGTAAGTTCATTCCATGGATTCTTTATATAATGTTTTCATAACTAACAAGTGAGCTTTAAGTTATCAAAATTTTTCACATTTTACATGCTTCCAATCCATGGACTTCGAAAATAAATTATTACCATTCCCTATCTTTCCAACACATATACTGATAGGGCCCATTCTACAAAAGCTGATAAATCAAGAAAATATAACAATCGAACGAAGCAAGTGAGGGGAAATCCTGAGATTTTTATTAATACAGTACTGAAATATGAACCAAATTACAAAATAAGAATCGAATGCTAGTTCCGCTCAAAATCCTAATCCCCTAATAAGCTTACAAATCAAAATATAAAATAAACAACCAAGCTACAGCAAGGTCCTCACTGGTGTTCGAGAGGCCAATCCCTTCCTAAAGCCAACACTCTCCAAAATTACAAACCCCCCCCCCCCAAAAAAACACAGCCGAGTCAAAATATAGGCAGCAGTAATAAAAGGACAAAAGTAGCCCTGAAGTTAGACTAAGTCCACCGCCATTCTACTGTTTCATTTATCTGACCTGGTTGTCCCCTTGACTTTCCTTTTATAGGTCTGTTTAAAACCAGCGGCTATATCAGATACTCAAGAACTGCACAAATTCCCACAGGGATATGCTTTAGATCTGGATTTCGTAAGAAAAATGTTATGTTGATTTGAACTTGTACAAATATCGACTTAATGGTATGCTTGAATCAAGAAGAATGAAGGAAAAAGTCAGATTTGAGTTAGATTTGAAGTTGGGAAAATATTTAAATCGAATTTTCTCTCCCATTCTCCTCAATCCAAATACGCCCTTTTCACGATTCTTTTCTTAAGACACTCCAGTCCAAGCCTACCAAATATTGGATATGTGACGCATATGTCCAAGTTGCAAGAATTAGCAGTACAGGACTCCTATTTACATACCATCTATGGACTTTCTTAAAAAGGGGTTGAGATATGTCGAGTCCTGTGCTTTGAGATTCTTGGAAAAACTCATTAGCCACTTTTTTTAGTGTTGTGTCTGATGGCTTCTTGAGTCCAGTTTGAGCAATTATGTCCTCTGCATATTCTTCTGTTGAATGAAGAACCCACCTTTCACTGTAAAGTAAACATGCCACTGGCAATCAATAAGTTATAGATTAATGGAAAATGATGGAAGATTAAACAAATACCTATGAGTAGAACGGCCTGGCTTGCTGCTCTCGCAATGAGCCCACCTTAAAGTGCTAGAATTCTCAATGAAGAAGCCTTTGAAGAGTATCTGAAAAATTTAAACCATCAATTGAATTTGTTTCACAGAAGACTATGTTTCAGTATACATTTAAAAGACCTAGTCAAGCCATTATTTTGTTTTAGTATCATTAACTACAATAATTACACGGACAGGTCCCGTCTTCCCTACCAAGTTCAATTTTCAATTTCGATAGCAAGCCACGTATACAGAAGGAAATAGAAAATGGCCAAGCCAAAACCAATCATGCAGTGAATAAGGAAATCAAACAAGCCATACTGATTTCATTCACTATTAATGATAACTTTAGAGGTGTATAGCTGCTATCATACTAAGGTTAGAGGTTCTGCAAAGGCCAGCATTACACTAAAACATGGCCTAACAGGAAGATCACCCAACTTTGGTGACAACGCTGGCATCAAATTCATATCTGCATTCATCGTAAAAGTCAATCTGCCACTATTGACCATAGAAATGCCACCGTAAGTATCATTTGACATAAACACCCACATTTTAGATGCTAAGTTTTCGCCTTTCAGAATACAAACACACACACATGACCAAGCTAATTACATCGATGCCCCTGGGGAAGATTTGAATATAAAATAGTCAAAACGTAGTCCATTTGTCCAGCTCATCAGTTTCATGTTGGTTCATCTACTACATCATAAACTATCAAATTAATCTGATATCATTATTAGTTAACATAAAGGAATTTTTAATTCATCACATGTGGGGTAAAGGGTCTCTTCACTTCCCTTCCCTTCTATTTCCATCTACTTCTCATTGCAACTATTAAGAATGAAAGTTTAACTGTTCAGATTTCATGTTTTAGAAAGTAATTTTTAGTATTTTTTGAATTATTCTAGCTAAAATTTAGTAGTTTTATTTTACTTTCTTTTTAAAATTTAACATTTTATTTATAATTTTATAAATATGAAACCTAAACCATTAAAATTTCAATCTTATGATCGAGATGAAAAGTGGAAGGGAAGGGAAGTGGAGACCCCCCTTACCCTATTTTATAAGACAAATGATAAAAGCAATAAAGTGCTGCAATCACTTTTCTCCTCTTCAATTTCTCATAAAACTTCATACTAAAAATAGAAACAAGCATTTTATATTGATAGTTATTTCCTTTGAAAATTCTTGGTTTTTAAGAACCTTTCAAAAGCAAGTTGAGATTTTCTTCCATTACTCAACGTTCAAAATTTTGAAAAAAGAAACATGAAACAGAATAGATACCTAATAAAAGTACCCGGAGCATTGGCCATGTTTAACAATGTGAAGTGAAAAAAACAGCCAACAGCAAAATAATACTCATGATTCCGAATTAGAATTTGAAGTGTAACGGAGGTTCTTGGTTAAAGAAATTATGTTCATTTTATGCACCTTTGCTATCTAACATCTACAAAAATAAAATTTCATATAAACAAGCAAATCTATAAATAAGTCAGTGCAAACATAAGGAGATATATATATTTATGATTTAGAATTCCAACAAAATAAAGCTGGGAACCACCATCATGTGCAGCACTTGTGCAACAAACAAATAAAGCTGAGTTTTTATGATTTGAAATTCAGATAATCTGGCAAATCTTTCAATCTTAAACGCATAGGCAAAAGAAAGAAAATTATGTTCATGACTTGAAACTTTAAAAAAGGAGTGAATACATACCTAACGAGTGAATGCGGAATGGATAGCATTAGTGGGAAAACTGATGCCTTCATGAGTGAGAAGGTCACTTAAAAATGCTACTCCATCATCATCAATGCTACAAAAAGGGATATGAGAAATAATTGCCCAATATTTTCCATTTTGTCTTTGGATCTTCTTTTTGAGCAAGGGACAGCCCATAATCAGTAGCATGCAAAGGGAATTAGGCAAACCCTCCTTTGGAAAGTGCTGGAGTTTAGGGCAGCCACGAAATCCCAATCCTTCCAAAGAGGATAAGTGGCAAAGACCTTTGTGTTCCAATGATCTAAGATTTGGGCAGTTATGGAATGAAAGACAAGTAATAGTAGGCGGAAGTAGTCCAATATCAGGAAGAGACTCGTCATCTGCATCTCCAATCCCTAAGTGAAGCAGCGAAGTAAGCCTACTCAGATGCCACCCCCTTCGAGAGGCTACAAGTTTCGGGCATTCCAAGACATCAAGATGTTGGAGATTTGATGGGAAACCTTCCTCTGAAAATGATTCCACTTGTGGGCAACATATTATTTCCAGATATATGAGAGAGGGAAAGAAAATGCGCATCTTCTCTGGTAGTGATTTCAAATTCTTCAATTCTTGGATGCAACACAATACCAGTTTGGGGGCCGAAAACCCTCCTTCAGGAAAACGTACAAATCTAGGACACTTTCGAATGTATAAGTTTGCAAGAGAAAAATGGTTCCCCTCTGAAACAGACATCATTTCAAGATTATTGCAGTCAATCAACTTCAATGATTGAAGCTTCGGGAATAAATCCAGAGGAAAAGACTTGAGAGAGTCACAGCTCCCTCTTATCTCCATTTCAAGAATGAAGTTATGAAAATAGCACAATGGGAATTCTAAGTGGGGAGAATCAGAACACTTCAACTCTTCGAGGTTACAATTGGCAATGACATTCTTAATTTTATCAACTGATAATAAATTTTTGAAGCCTCCAGAAATGTCAAGGACTTTTAGAGATGATGGAAGACTCTCCAACTGCTCATTTCCGCAATTTCTTAGAACCAATTTATCTAGAGATGGATCCTGGGGAATGGAAGACAAAAGCTTCTCACAATTGGAAATTACTAGCATCCTTAGAGAAGGAAGTTGTTGAGGAAGTTGCCCTTTCAATTTGGGACAATTTTCTATGCTCAACTCTTGAAGATGAGGGAAAGTTAGTGACACAAGTTCACACTTCCATTCCTCCCAGCTCTTCATATCTCCAAACCTCAAGATTTCTAGGGATGAAGCATTAGAGCTACTTCCACAAAATTCTGGACCAATAGCTACTATATTATGAAACCCTATAATTGACAGTGACTTGAGCGATGGAAAGAGGCCAATTGATGGCAAGGATACACAGTATTTGCAATGCCTTAGCTCTAGGGACACTAAATCGGACAACGAATGATCTGCAAGCCAATTTGGAAACTCAATACCACCGTAGTTGACAATTGATAGCTTTTTTAAATTTTTATGCGGTTGAAAGTTCTCCAGCACATCTTTATCATGTGGTGATTTTTCATTGTCTATGCACCATTCTAATGTTAACTCCTTTAGGTGTATCTTGCTTCTCAAATTGACCGCTAAAGCAGCCATGGAAGGAACCATATTCTGCAATCCCGAGATGGAAAGTGGTCCATGAAGATCAAGTCCTTCTAAATATTTGATGCTGGTCTCTCCAGATTTGTCTACAATGAATGATGACAGCACTTGAAGATTTTTCAATTTATCCAGTTGCTTTGGCATCTCTCTCACTTGAGTTTTACGAAAATCAAGGTGACGTAGATTCATGAGTTTATGAAAATCCATTGGCAACATTTCCAAAAGACAACAACGCCACAACTTTAGCGTTTGCAAATGATGAAGTTGGCATATTGAATCAGGTAGTTTCCTTATTTTAGTTCCTGATAAGTCCAAATAACGGAGATGTTTGAGGTTTCCTATTGAATCGGGTAACTGAATGATGACATGATCAGACAAAGATAAAACTCGCATGCAAGTGAACTTGGATGGCAAATTGTGAGTAAACTTTCCAGATATAAAGTGAAGAATGGAGTTACAGCTTGTACTTCTGTGACCTTGCATAGATAGAGGCAAGAAAGTGCGCAATTTTTTAGCCCTGTGTATAACCTCAAATCGTTCGAATGTATTAATAGTATTTCTCAAAAATGAAATATGGCGGGTCATTTCTGTCAAGTTATTTACATCATCTAACTCCAACCTATGGCAAAACTTTCCATATTCAACTTTTGCCATATCATTAATAAGATCATGCATGACGAAACGAGTGTTATCTACTAGTGACCGTTGAAAAAGTGACCTCAATAAAGGTCATGGAAAGAATTGTTCTCCTACTTCTCTCCCATCTTTGCTTTGATGAGCACATGTCAGAAAATTTTCTGCCATCCAAAGTTGAATTAAGTGCTCCTTATCAAAATCATAATCTTTGGGAAATATTGAACAATAAGCAAAGCATCTTTTGAGATGAGAGGGGAGGTAGCAATAACTCAGTCTCAAAGCAGGGAGAATCTTGCTATCACTTTTGTCCTCCCATATCTCACTTTCCAAAATTTCATTCCATTGCTCACGAGATGATTCTGTGTACAATAGACTCCCAATGGCTTTCAAAGCCAAAGGCAGCCCTTTGCATTTTTTACTGATTTTTCTACCAATTTCTTCAAAGTCGGAGTTTGCACAATGAACATTTCCATCATGGAATCCATATCTACTAAATAATGACCAACTATCTCCTTCTGATAACGGCTTCAATTGAAGTATATTAGCAGAACGCATGGTTGAAGCAACTTTTCCACTGCGGGTGGTTAGAAGAATTTTGCTTCCTAGAGCCCCATGATTAAATGGTGATTGCAAGGCCTCCCATAACATAAAATTTTCATTCCACACGTCGTCTAAAACAAGGAGAAACCTCTTTTGAGTTAGTTGTTGTTTCAATTTAATTTGAAGCATATTTAAATCATTGGTATCATCCTTAGATCCAGTGATTGCCTCATAAATTGTTTTTGTTACCCTCAACACATCCAACTCATCAGAGACACACACCCAAACTTTGAGGTTGAATCCATCCATCACCCTTCTATCATTATATACGAGCTGGGCAAGAGTAGTTTTACCCAGACCACCCATACCCACTATAGAAATCACAGATAGTTGGTTGTTATACTCTTCTGACAGAAGCCATTCAATGATGGTTTCTTTGTCATCATCTCTGCCATATGTTCCGGCTTCATCCACTAAAGATGTAGTTGGCAATCTATCTGGTATAGCAGTTCTCAATCCACCACGACTATCACGTTCATTCAATCTCAATATGTCCCTCTGAGATGCAAGATATTCCAGATTTTCAAGGACATTTTTCGTCCTGGATTCAATTTCCTTCTCAAATGAACTAACGGGAGTACTAAAGAAGTTTCGTACCTTGCCAATAGCACTGGTTCGACTCTTTTGTTCAGCTTCCAGCTTGCGCTTGCACAATTCATAATCAATCTCATCCAAGACATCCTCAGCATCGAACACGGCATCTTTAACCAAATCAATCCAGTCCTTCACCTTCGGATTAGTGATCTGCTTTTGCTCTGCATCGTCAACCACGGCATCGATGGATAACAGGACGAACTTCAACTTATTGAGCAATGCCTGGTTCAATTTTGGTTTGTTGAAGAAGTCCAGAACATCCCGAGAAGCCAGCCTATCAAAAGCCACCTGAAGAAAAGCAGAAAGAAAAGCACCGCCGACGAAAGCTCCCGCCATAGATGAAGATGTTGTGCTTGTGCAAATGAAAACCGAAAAAGAACGTGATGAAAATGCGAGAGTGGGAAAGGTTATTGCAATGGAAGGAGTGTGTGACTTTGTGGGTTTTGTGAGTGTGGCCAGAAAATGGCAAAATGCGTTCACTTTTTATCCTCCCGTCAACCACGCTACAAAATATCGATCAAAATGAAGACTTCGAGTTCCCAGTTCATTCCATTATTATACTTCTTTGACATTTCGAAGTGTTTTGGACTGCGTATTAATCATTTCATTATCATCTTCATCCCGTCAACCACGCAAGAAAATATCCATCACAGCACAGACTTGAAAGCGATCTTGCATTGTGCTTTACGATTCAATGGAGATTCCTCGCCTCATACCCTGAAATTATATCTTTATTATATAAATTTATGTAAAAAAATTTAATACAGTTTTTAATCTCGAAATTTAACTTCATTAAAGATTAAAGAGAATATTAACCTTTTATATTTTTTTATATAATGAAATGAGTGTTTGATACTTCTTATATAAGTAAATACTCCTCCAATCCTTAATATAGACATCTTTAACTAATTGATTAGATTAAAAAAATTAGGTAAGTTAGTTAATTATAAGAAATATAACATATTTTTCCTAAAATACCATAAT